GTAGCAGGAAGCTCTCCACACACTCACCGGACCTAAGCTAGGACTGGGTCTCCAGCTGGACACTTTAATTTCTAGTTTTCTCCCTTGTTCTTTTCTTGGATTGGACTGAATTCTGATCATTTTCCAAGCATGCCAAACATGCTTTTGCTATGCTTTTGTTCTTGGTGTTGTCTTAAAATCCCACATGGCCTGATTTAAGTGTCAACTTTTTCCTCAATAAAACCACACTATAACTCAGTCAGAATGAATTGTTCTATCCGACCTTGGCTTATATTTCAGTCCAGCTGGTTTTCTATCTTGTCATTTTCGCACGAGATGGCAAGCAAGAGTTACATCTTATTACTGTTAGTATCATTATAGCTCCTCACAACATCAGGTAGATGAAGCTTTCATTGTGTGTCAGTTGGATAGCAAGTGGGAAGAAGTCATGAATTAATTAATCAACAACTTCAGGTTTCACAAAGCACCGTAAACAAGCTCTGTGCATCTCATTCCTCTTGTGTAACGTAACCGTGCTTCATGTTTATATGAGATTTTGGTTTCTTGAACTAGTGAAATATTAATGGTAACATTTATTCTGAGAAAATTCTAAAATAATTTTTCTATCATTTGAGGCATAGAGAAGATGAAATAAGAACTCACTTAGCCTTAGTTTCTGGAGTTAAAAGCAGAGGTGTTGGATTAGGCATTCTGGATACTCCCTTCCTAAGCCTTGACGCTCTATCTCTGTAATATTAATGTACCTGTTCTCTTAATGAGCCGTGTGTTAGCATCAAAGTAACAGGGACCTGGAAGTACTCCACCCTCTTAGAACAGGTTATCTGTGGCAGTGCTTGGAGTATAGGTGGATGAATCTCAGAACATCTGTGATTTCCCTCTGAAATTTAAAAAAAAAATTGTCATCTAAACATTGAACATACAAAAAGTTAAATCAGACTCTGGATTCATGAGTGTCTTTTTAAATCATGAAATAGTATTTGTACTTCTTGATTCAATTAAATGCTGTTGTTTATATATTGAGTGTCAACACACACACACACACACACACACACACACACGAAGGCCACTTCACTCTGGCTCCTGTGGGCTTGCAGCTTTGTTCATTTATCTATCTTGGATGTATAAGAAATAAAATACAAAAAAATGCGCAAAGAAAAAGCACATCTGGGAGCCCAGCAACAGCCAGAGCTCACAGAATCCTAGGTAGCATTCTGTCACTTTTCCTTCCTGGTACACACATGTAGAGGAGGAGATCTACAGAAATATATATATTATCCAAAACTGCCTTCTAACTGTGTATATGAACATGTGTACAAGTCAGTCTGTGTCTTTTTTCCTAATTTCCTAGAAAAATTATAGTCATGTAAAATATATATTTCCATAAACTGAGCCATAATATAAATGCTGATCATTTCAATTTGATTTTACTAGGGATCGAACCCGGGTCCTTGTACTTGCTAGGCTGGTGTGTACACCAATGAGCTAGCCCCCAGCCTGATCATTTTTCTTGCTTTAGCTCCCCCTCCTTTATTCCATTCCTTCCTTTTCCCATATCATACCCCAAGAGATATAAATATAAGTCAACTACTCAGTTTATATCATTTTATATTTTTACATATATTTATATCATCATATACTTATCAGAATTTTACCATGTTTAGAAATTAAGATTTGTACATATGAGACTTGTAAATATAGCTTTTTTCTTTTTCTACTTGTTTTAAAGTTATGCCGGCCTCGTGACTTTGAAGATTTTTACCTTTCTGTATGGCCTAAAATAGTTTCAATAACATTAAAATTATTGGTACATTTATTTATTTATTTATTTATTTATTTGATTATTTGATTTCAGGAGTCAAATTCAGGACCTTGCACTGCCAGGCAGGTGCTTGTGCCACTAAGCTATATCATTGGCTCCTATCAGTGCTTTTTAAAAAAGAATTTAGTATAAAGCCATCTCGGCCAAATAGATCTTAACATATCTTTTTTTTAGGATACTTGGTACATTCAAATTTCATGCTAATTTGTATTTTTCTAGGACATCTTTACCCATTTCAGTTTATTTCCTTGTTACCAAAGTTAGTAATAACATACAATATTTTCATCTTTTCTATATTCTGTTTTTGTGTTTATGTTTTCTAAGCTTGCATAGTTGAACACTTATATAGATTTTTCTTTTTTTCTTTTGTATTTTAGGGACGGGTCTATGGGGTGTTCAGGGTCTCACTACTAGATCAGACTCATAGTGATCCAACTGTTTACAGCCTCCCAAGAGCTGGGATTACAGGCGCCCTCCACCACACCCAGTGGCAGTTGCCATCTCAGCACACCCTGGGGGCAGGGCCAGCACCACACACCAGAGAATCAAACTTCTGGCCCCTGCACCTACTTGCAATTGCTTTAATTCGCTGAGCTATTTGACCAGCCCTAGATTTTCTTTTTATGGCTTAGTTCTGCCTCATTGGAAGTTTATTTTAAAATATTAGCTATGGATTTACTATTTTTCATCCATTTCATTTGTTTTTAGCTTCTATCAATTTTTCGTTTCCTGGCTTATTTTATTTTGTTGCACTTTTTCCAATTTCTTAAAATAAGGAAAACTCTTCTATCTGGTGTGAGATGGTGCATGCCCTGTAATCCCAGCACTCAGGAAGCTGAGGCAGGCAGGTCCAAGGCCAGCCTGAACTACATGGCAAGACGCTGTCTCAAAATATATATACATTTTTTAATTCCTTGAGTGGAAGAAAATTCCATACTTAACAACTATTTCTAAAACAATTGGAATGGATAAATGAAAATAGAATTAAATTATTGGTGCTGAAAATTGACCTCCTGGAAATAAGAAACAAAATATTTTCATCATGATTTTCAGCCTTCTAACATAGTATTTAGATAATATTTAAATAATAATTACTGTTTCCTTCATAAACGAGAAAATTGTTGATTTTAAATTGGTAATATCTGAAGAAATACAGCTTTGAGAATTTTTATGCATGACTGACTATAAAGCTCCCTATATGTTTCTACCTAAGGAGAGCAAGTTTATCAGAGTGGCAGGCACAGTGGTGCTGCACCTAATGAGCACCAGTGTGTACAGTGGGCTGCAAGATGCCGTGTTCTTAGGTCGCAGGGAGATAGAGTAGTAACAGGACCCAGCGAGATGGTCCTGGCTTACAGAGAGAAG